TCAACCTTGAGCCGGTGAGATTTGAACCGCCGAACTGCAGCTAGCAGTCAGCTGAAGTGGCCTGCAGTACTGCACTCTAACCACTGCGCCACCTCTTGCTAAAGGCTTAGGAGTTTTATCCTTTCTACTCTTCAACCTCAGAGTTAGTAACTGTGCTTGAATAATTCTAACAATTTAATTCAGACCAGTGAAATCTTCTGTGACTATAGATCACCCCTGAGGCACTTATCAGCCAACCATTCAGTCTTGCCTACTTCTCCTCTGATGAGGCATCGACTTTTAAGACCGCCATCAATAGCAGCTTAATCTAGAGATATTAGGAGATATTTAGCTTTCACATAATCAAAGGGCCGGACCGACATTTTGGACTAAGCCATCATAGGCTTTGCTTTCGTTGGAAAAGACCCTGAGATTGGGGAAGATTGAAGGCAAAAGGAAGAGGGGACGGCAGAGGATGAGATGGTTAGATAGTGTCATTGACACAGTGGACATGGATTTGGGCATAATCTGGGAGATAATAGAAAACGGGGTGTGCTGTGGTCCATGGGTCGTGAGGAGCCAGACATGACTGAGCACCATCAAAAATACATTGTTCGGGTTGACAGGATTGGTTCTCAGCACTGATTTGCAAAAACTTACCCTATTTTTTGGACTATCAGATGCACCAAGATTTTGAAAAGGCAAATTAAAAAAAAAGTTTTTGCAGTCTGCAGACCTCCCCAAAACGGCCCGTTTTTCAATCAAAAAAAGGACACGTGTAGCCTTTAGGAGGCTTGTAAAGTGCTCCTGGGGGCTGAGGGGCCAAAAACAAGCAAAAAACCGGTCCATTTCCCGCTCATTTCTGTCCTCCCCAGCCCCCAGGAACACTCTGGAAGCCTGCTAAAGGCCATTTTGGTGAAGGGGGTGGGTTTCGTGAGGCCAAAAATGCTATATTCAGTGTATAAGACGCACCCAGATTTTCAGCCTCTTTTTTGAGGGAAAAAGGTGCGACTGAAAAATACAATAGTTTTGGGGTTAATGTAGGATAAGCCCACTTGACTGTAGCTTATTCGGCAAGCCTTAATTAAAACAATGCTTTAATATAACACACGAATCCAATCTGTGTTTCCTTTACATTGTGATATAATTATAAGTGTTACTAGGGCAGCATCGGAGAGCTACTTTTTCTGAACTTTATTTTCTTTTTTTAGTTGTCCCTACTATGAATGTCCCTGTTCGGGGGTGGGTGGGGTGGGGAGTGCACCTTCTGCGCCTGTTCCTGTAGAGGGGAAAATAGTAGTTAGGCCAGTGTTTCTCAACCTTGGTCACCTGAAGATGCATGGACTTCAATTCCCAGAATCCCCCAGCCAGCAGAGCTGGCTGGGGAATTCTGGGAGTTGAAGTCCACGCATCTTCAGGTGGGCCAACGTTGAGAAACACTGCGTTAGGCATTATGTTAATGGCAGGGCTAACCACTCCTCGCAACTGCTCCTCTTCCATTCCTCAATCTGTAAGTTTCAAGACGGGAAGATAAACAATTTAACCGGCACATCTACTGGTAATCTGGCAGTAAGAAGCAGCAATTTATCTAACTGCAAAGCACAAGGATTAAACCACGGCTAGTGGTTCACTGTGCCCTTTGCCAAGGTGTAAGCCACAGGTACCACAACAAAGGTTGGTTTGAGTAAACTTTCACAGAACAGGGTATATACCACAGACTGTCTCCCATAGCTATTTCTGTCTGGGTAACATTAAACAACACAAAGGACTACGTTCAAATGTGTAACATTAAACAAAACAAAGGCCCACATTCAAATGTGTAACATTAAACAACACAAAGGCCTACATTCAAATGTGTAACATTAAACA